TTTCACCACAGGAGTGAAATGCCTGCAGCTACAATCTCTATTTTATCGACTGGGGTTGGAGCCAGGTGTCCACAGCTGTGGCCTATCTTGCCCTTTGAGATGTCTCTTGTTCTCAGTTCAGTCATGCCTCAGCCACACCTCAGCCTTGCATGTGTGTTCAGCATCAAAGGCTCCAAAACACTGGAAACTGGTAAGCCAACTGTGTAACATCACATTCAATTTAGTTTGGGAGATGGGAGCAACAAGTCTGTTCACAACATAATTTGGTTTATTACTATATGAATAAAGACCTGATGGCTGAGTCTTAGGATAAACATCTAAATTTAAGTCTTCGCATCTATAAGGGCATAAATTTTTATGCAATATTTACGCTTTTCCATATGACTTTCACATTCTTACAGTTACTATGAGAAATCCCTGCTAAGTATAGCAGACATATACATGCTTTTAGTTCAGCCAATGAGGTATCACAATAGATACATTTTTTACTATGGCTATTGGTGCACATAGAACATTTTAATTGTCTTTCAGCCTTTGTGTACATTATGGTTTGTTTCCCCCCAGAGCTTCAAAGAGTTATCAGGTAGTGGACTTTCCAGAGGTAGCTGAATCTAGCTTGTGATTGATTCATGGCCCAATACTGGGATTAAAGGTGTGAGTACTGTACCCTCCATAGGGCAGGTAGCCTGCTGGTATGGTTTGTGCCTAGATGTCCCCCAAAGCCTCCTGTAGTCATGGGGGCAGGCTTCTAGAGTTTGTGTTTGATTCATGGTCAAATGTTGACATTATAGGTATGAGTACTAAACTCACCCTAGAATGGGTAGCCTACATACAATATAAGGGATAGAAATCTCTCTTTGCTCCTTCCTTTTGGTTCTTGTTGCTTTTGCTGTTTTCTGGCCACCATGAACTGTTGCTCTCTGCCATGTTCCACTCTGCCTTGGAACCAGCTGAGTATTAATTGATGATCCGGCCTGCAGATCAATCCATGGAGAACTCCTGAAGGAGGAACGGGGATTAAATAAAAGACATGGGGGAGACAAAGAGAGATAGAGGCAAGTCAAGATAATCCGATCAAGCCTCCGTTTATTCCGGAAGTGATTACATCTTTTATAGGCTAAGTGCGGGAACTGGGACAGGAAGAGGTTAAAGGAAAGAATACAACAGGGTCACTGTCACATCCGGATACGTGACGTAAGCAGGAGAGGATTATGGTTAATATAGGCAGACGCAGTGCCCATAGGAGACAGAGGCAGGGAGGCAGCAATGGGCTGTTACTTGGCTCCCTACAAATTGAAACTTCCACAAACTATCGGCTAAATAAACCTTTCCTTCCTTAATTTTGGACATCAGGTTTTTTGTCTCAGCAACAAAGAGAAAAGTAACCAACACACCTGCTTATAATATAAAGGACAGAAAGAGGATTGTCTTTCTCTTTTTTATTTGTTGCTTTCCACTGTTTTCTATGAACTGTTGCCCCTCTGCCATATGTCAGTCTACCGTAGAGCCAGCTGATTATGGACTGAAACCTCTACAGACTGTGAGTTAAGTAGACCTTTTCTCCCTTAACTCATAGGTATGGGGTATAGGGTATTTTTCACAGCAATGAACGAAAAGCAACTAAGTCAGTGTATTTCACAGCTTCTTGTAGCATTTTGTCTGTTACAATTTCCAACACTGAATGGGAGTGCTGGCATTCTGTCTAGTATGTTTCACCCCTGCCAAGAGCCTCACTATATTTTTGCATCTAGTTCTAGCATTAAATGGCTCCATTGGTTGGGTGGCGATATTACAACATTTTGACTAGTCAGATATGTACTTACATTGCCATTTTGTCATCTGAATTTGAATCAAGGAGGTCTGCATCTCCTATGTCTATATCAGTCGATTCTTGTTCCACTTCACTGTCATAGGAACTTTGGCTCACACAGCCTACGCCATCATCATCACCATCATCATCTTACATATGCACCATCCTTCTGTTATGAAAGCATGTACTTTACCATAGTGGATCATCTTTATCATCCATGATTGGACAATCTGATGATTCACTTTCAACTGCCTCAAAACTTGCAAATCTAATTCATGTGCCATTGTACCAAGTTGTGTTACTTCTACTAGAAAAACTAAAAAAAAGCTTAAAAAGAAATTCTGGAAGGGTGTGGGTCTTTTGGACCCTCTGGGATGCTTGAATAAATATATATATAAAACCAACAAAATGGATAAAAATTCCATTTCATCACTTTTGCACAGGTGCATACACCTTGCAGTTTGCCATACCAAATGAGTAAACATACAGATTTCTTCCTATATCCCTCAGGGAAAGGCACTGAGATGCACAGTCAGCTATCATAAAGCTAAAGTACAAATTTATGGTAGAAAAGTAAGAGATGGGTCCACTGGATCCAGTATTATGCTGATACTTTAAACAAAGTGCTACATCTCTAGATTTACACAATGACATAGGGGAATGAAACTCCCAACCTACTATATGTGCGGAATGAGTTTGTGTTCTCTAAAATTGAGGAGTGACTTTTAGGAACAACGGAGGTTAAGAGCAGAAATGTTTATTTAGAGAAAGCAAGCTTCTTTCTGAGAGAGAGATAGAAGGGGTCCTGAGTGGGTTGCCAAAGATTCAGTATTTTCTCAGGATTTTTATAGAGCAGAATCATGAGGTGAGGTGGGTCTAAAATTGGGGAAAACTGGAACTCATGAGGTAGACAGGCATGAGGTAGGACAGAGCTATGTTTAGCCAATAAGATTAATAGCTCAGGTAAAATTGACTGAACTGGGAACAAATGGGGAAGCGAGTCACATAGAAAGTAGGCATTCTTAGAGATCAGTGACTCTTCCCTAGGGATTGGAATGGTGATTCCTGACTTCTCAAAGTGATCTAGATTTAATCCCTAAGGATTATACTTAAAAGGATGATTGCGTTTGTTTTGCCTTCTGTCCTGAGAGCTGGCCCACAGCAAGACGTATGTGTCTCCTCCAAGGTCACCAGATGTCTGGTCCTCTGGGTCGGCTTCTTCTAGGGCCTAGCCCTGTCTGCTAATTCTAACTAACTCAACTGCCTATAACACTAAAACCTAGGCTTCAACACCACTGGGGATAGATAGTCTGGCAGTTTAATAAGAGCACTTTCCTAAAATGACAAATTTTAAGTTTACACTGGGGACTGACTTACCAACAGATCTAGAAAGGTAAATTCAAAATTATATAACAGAGTTCATTCAGAATTTGGTGGGGGTATAACTGAACTATCCAAAATTCCTGCTAAAGTCGGGTGTGGTGACTCATGCCTGTAATTCCAGCACTGGGGAGGCTGAGGCAGGAGGATCATTGCGAGTTCCCGGCCAGCCTATGTTACAAAGTGAATTCAAGGCCAGTGTAAACTGCAGAGAGACCCTGTCTCAAAAAGAAAAAAAGAAAAAAAAAAAATCCCTGCTAAATCTAGTTAAATTCCACTAGAAGTGGTAAATGATGTAATTAAGATTTCTGCTAATTATTACAAATTATACACAAGAATTGCGAGGTCGAGGCAGAAAACTGCGTTTGTTAAAAAAATGGGAGTCAAAGATATCTATAATCCAAAGTACTGATTGATCTTATGTATCATTAATAGATTTATGAAAGATCAGTAGTGTTCTCATTGCTTTTTCCCATAAAATATACATGGATGAAATGAAAACAGCTCCACAACACTTGTATGATTTCATTTTCCAGAGTTTATGTCTGGAAATTACTTCAGTTCTTGTTTCCCAGCACATCTACTAAATACATCTAAAGGACAGGCATCACTTTGAAGCAAATCCACCACATTTCCATGATGGCGAACCGGTTTTCCAGGAGGGCGGGTGTGTGGGGCACACAAGACCCCCGGTGCGGTGGGGGAAGGGAGGGGACAGGAGGAGGACGGCGCCTGTTCTCTGGTAGGGGTCAGCTTCTGCGCCTCGGGCTTTGAATGTGGTGTCTTCTGGCTGTGCTAGAATTGGAATCCAGGCTTCTCCCGTGGTCTCCTTGGGTAGAAAGTGTCTAGGAAGGCGGCGCGGGGCGGAGGCCTCAGCATCCTATCTGCAGGGTTCTCCGAGGGCTACACGGGGAGGGGGGTCCACTCGCTCGGGGGCGCTACGGGGCCTCGGGGACTCCGCGCAGGCGCCCTAGGCTGATCCGCGTCTATTTTTGCGCCTAAACCAAGGTCATCCGCTAATCTCCGGCCCGCGCCCTGAGGGGGCGTCGCACACCTGCGGGCCCCGCGCGCTGGGCGGGGCCCGGCGGGGCGGCAGGGCGGTGTTGGGGTGCGTGCGTCACGGCAGGACCGCGGGGCTGCAGCCCACCTAACCCGGACCTCGCGGCCTGGCGGGCGGGGTCGCTCGCGAGCAGCGGCCGGCTCCATTCATTCGCGCGGCCCCGCCTCCCGCCGGCTGCAGCGGCTCTCGCGCCGCGTCTGGGAGAGTGCGAGGCCGAGGCTGAGGCCGAGCCCCCCGCCCGCCGTCTCCCGACTCGGGCCTGCGCAGGCCAGGTGCGCGGTGCCTCCATCTTGGGAGGGAGCCCGCCCGCCCCCTCCGTGGCCCGCGCCTCGCAGCCGCCGCCGCCGCCGTCGCCGTCGCCGTCCCCGCTCCGGCCGCCCGCGGGGCCAGGTCCCCGGAGCTCTGACGCTTGCGCGCCCGTGGCCACCTCGGAACAGGTAGGCGCCCGGCCCCTCCCCCGTTTGGGTCTTTTCCGAGCGGATTCGCTCCCAGCGCCGGCGGCCTGCGCCTCGGGAGGCGCCAGGAGGATGCAGCCCTAAGCCCCGGGTGGTTCGCGACTCGCTCCGGATCCCATTTTCTCCTATATTGTCCTTGGAGAGGAACGGTGGAGCGGCGGAGCGGCGGAGCGTCTCGCCGGCGCTTCGGCCCGAGAAATTGGTGTGGGAGTCGGTTGTACGATAACCACCTGATGCAGGTTTCCTTCCCCGGGGAGCCTTTCATGGCCGGGACGGCTAAGCTCCAGTCAAAGGATGTTTTGAGGGGGTTGGGGCTGGAGGGAGGTATTCTTGGAAGATTATCCAAGGTAAAGTTTTCATTGTGATTCAGAACCTGTGGACGATTTGTCATTCTCCAGTTCCGGAGAATTTGATAATTCTTGCTTTAATTTTGTCGTCATGTAAATCCTACTAAAGAACCGAATAGATTGTACCCTCGCCATTGAGATTTTATCACTGCATCACAGGCAGGGATTAACATCTGGAATGGAGACTGTTGCATAATGCATACATTTGAGCCCTGGAGGGATTTCTTCAAAATGGATGTGGATTTAGTGTGCTGTAAGTTTTGATTTCTCGAATTTTGTGCATATCGTAGGATGTACAGGTAATCCATATAATTACATCTTGTTAACCTGTTATGAAGCATTTACTAGGTGAAAGGCTTTCAGTGACAAAAATGGATGGAGTGGAACGCAAATTTTATTTTATTTTTTATTACTATTTTTAAATCTTTGTTTGTTTGGTTTAGAGGACAGAGAATGAGATGGTGAGAAACATCTGGGGAAAAGTCTATTCGTAACAAGACTTCCAGCCCAAAAAGAAATAAACGTGGTAGTCTTTCACAGGAAGCCTAGAGTTGTCATAGTGTGTGACAGTTTATGGCGAGGATTCATCTGGGAAATTTAGAAATATCGTATGTGAGTAACATTGACTTTTTCACGTGAGTGACATAAATTATGGTCTTTTACCTGTGGATTTTAGATCTTGGAAAGTTTCAACTAGTCTGACTTTTGAAGTACTGTTCAAATAATTACAGATAGTATAATTTCTTTTAAAAAGGAAAAGTATGCATCAAACAAAAGACTTAATTCTAATTTGGAGGAAACAAAATATGTAATAATTGTTTTGAGAGTATAATTTTTACATCTTTTTAAAGTTAATCTAAACTTCTTTTTTCCTGTTGAGTCAAACTCACACTAACCCAACAAACACAGTGTACCATCTGTGGCAGAATGTTGTGCTGCCCAATCATGACGCCTTCTATAGTGATGGTAGTGGAGGCAGAGGGCCCCTGGGTATTTTGAAATGAGGCTCTAAGCCGTATGACTGCTAGGAATTGCCAGGGACTTGTCTGAACTATATCTAGGCCTATGGGGGCTGTGGTGTTGAGATTATTTGTTGTTGCAAACCCAGTTTGAAGTTAAACAGAATGTTACATTGATTCCATTATAACTGTTACAGAGCTTCCCTGACTTGGTACAAATGGTATCTTTTGACTTTGGTGGTGATTTGGTGTGCTTTTTATCTTTATGTGGCTTGAGATTTTGGACATTATTTTACCATTGATTGAGAAATTGAAAAGAAAAAAGCTAGTATTTTTCTTCATTAGCTCTCACCTGATAGCCCTTTAGAAGCCTTATTTGTGTTGAATTCGGTCATTGGTTTTAAAAAAATGTGGAAACATTTACTGTTCAGAGTAATTAAAAGAATTTAGTATACAGGCACTGCTGAATATCTGCCAAGGGTTCTGAAGAAAGGATTGTTCGTTGGGTTGGAAGTTAAAATCAACCTTCTGTTCCCTTTCATTTCTAAGATTTTATGATTCTTAAGTAGAAAAAGAAATGGAGTGAAGGTAATGGAGTTAAGATAATGTTTTCTTCACACATCAGTAGACTTTTGCAGGTTTATTTATCTCTGAATTTAATTTGGTACAGTGTTAAGAGGGATATTTCATAACTTTGAAGACATTACTGAAGGTTAAATTCATGAAGATAGGTGTGATGAGAAATAGAAGCTGGTAATTTTACTCCAGATATCATAAGTATTGCATGAAATTTTAAGTTTGTGTATGAAAACCAAACGTTTATCAATTCTGTACACTGAACTGTTCATTCAGCTTAAGCTATGCTTTGGACAAGAAAGAATACCTGCAGTGTCTATATCTAAATATTTTAGTTTATGAGCATAATTTGTTCCAGAAACATGATTGTAATGTAAAGCACTTGTATATTAAAGGAAATTTCCTTATAAGATATAATGGAAACTCAAATGACTCATTCTACAACCTGAAAATAAGCATACAAACATGGCTACAATAATGTAATGCAATGCAGTACAAAGTAATAATGAACATACAGAAGACAAAGAAAAATAAATTAGCGTGCACTTAGCTTTAAAAAACTTAGTGGCCAGCATGAGACACAAAAGAGAAGAGGCTCATTGTGTAGACCAACTTTTACTGTCATTAATGGATTTGCTGCTATCACCTCAGTGGAGGTTTTTTTTTATTGTCTTGCAACTTGAACAAGAAACTTGCTTTTGCTTCTTTTTGAAGATTTCTTGGAAATGTAACATTATATTGTTAAACAGATTCATTGCTCACACTGCCACAGCCTTATTTGAGTGGTGCTTCCCTACAAAATTTGCAGTTACCCACATTTTACACATCTCCCTAATGTCATTTGAGGTGAGGGATTCCTCCACCTTTTTCTTCCCCTCTTACACAGATGAGATCCCTTCAGTAACCTCTTGCTGTTAGGAGATAATCACCCACAGTCTTGCAGAGGAAGAGGGAGAGAGATGGAAAAGGAGGGAGAGAGAGATTAGAGGCAGGGGGAGATTGAGGAGGGAGAGACTAAGGAGGCAGGCAGAGAGAAACCATTAACCCAGTTATGATCATGTGACATTTGGCATCACAGCCTGTGTACTTGTAATTTACTAGAAATGTTTGTGTGTCTGGCAGAACACTCACAGAACAAGTTATTCGCAATCCAAGTTTTACTCTTATATTTACAGTATATTGTATACATACAGGGTGTGCTGAAGAGGGATGTATTGAGTTTGGATGGACTTAACAAAATAATAGTTGAACATGGTACTGAACAATAAAGGAGAGTTTGCCTTGGAGGTGTGGGACATGAGGAGAAATACAGCAAACACTAAAGCTTGAGTTAATGACTGGTATTGTTGGATAGCAGTGAAGTCAATTGAGTTGGCCCAGATCCCATGCTGGGTTGAAGCCTGGTTGTGATTAGAGATGTGTAGGGGTTTTGCTCTGTTGTGAAGAGAAGAGTTGACAGATTTTTTTAAAGATCAGTTTTAGATCACTTTATTGCAGTTTGAAGGCTAGATTGAAGGAATCAGGAACTCTTATAATAATCTGCAAGATTCTGAATCAAGGTGGTGACACTGGTGAACAAAGGGGGGGGGTGGGAGACCCGCTGAAGTAGAAAGGCAGCCTTTCAGATGGCAAGAGCTCTCTGTGACAGGATGTCAGACAGATTGGGTTCCAGAGGGAATCAGGACCCTGTTGCTTGTGTATCTGAGAACTTAAGCTTGCTTGAGGCATGGCTACTTTCTTTAGCTGTGAAATTAGTAAAAAATATCTTTTGCAAACTTATTAGAAATAATGTATGTGGGAGACAACTCCAGTGACTCCCCTTGAATGCAAAACAATTACTGCGACTTTATTTGGAGACTTATTTCCTTACACTGACATGTAGAGAGCTGGCTATGATATTTCCTTCTGTCTTGAATTGGCTCTAAGCATTGCAAATAGGGCAAGCTGAGGTACTGGTATGTACTCTCTAAAGCCAACAGACAGTCCTGTTTCCTCGAATAGTGTTCTCAGGATATGAGCACAGTAGGATGTTAGAGCCAATAGCTCCAGAAATGTCAACTGGGTATGAGCCTCAAGGAAAAGAGGCTATGACTCCCCAGGATACAAGAGTTTGCATATCAGAAACCCAAGCGATAGCCTCCCTAAACAATTCAGCTGCTACCTCAATTAGATTATGTGAACTAATTCTTCTGCATATCTCTTTCACCTGGCTAGCCAGCTCAAGTTACGTAATTCCCACCATCCTCACTGTCACTCATCCCTGAGCCACCACCTTCTTCACAAGATAATAAATTCTGGAAGTGGCTTAGGATCAAGGCCTTTGTCAGCACATCCTTTCGGGGATTGGATTTAGGACCCCTTGGCTGCCTTTAATTTGGAATACGTCATGGTGTCTTTACTCTTTAATGGTTGCATTAGTGGTGGTAGATTGGAATTAATTTGTTGGGATTACAGTGTTGTCTCAATGGGATTACAAATACAACTTGTTGGATTGTGAGGAAAATTAAATAGAGGATTACAATACTTGGGTGACTGCACACAGTATTTAGGATTACTATAATATATACAATTCACTGCCTGCCAGGTGACAAAAGTGTTTAATAATAGTGCAGCCAAATTCTGTTTGTAATGATGATAAATGATTGTGACCCTAAGGGAAAGGAATCATTGAGTGTAGGGTGCTTCCAACAGGTTTTGGTATGCGGTTTCCACTGGAGATGCTTCATTAACATAAGAAAACAGGAAGAAGTGGGCTTGAAGAGGGAGAAAAGTTAATTTTGGATCTGTTTTAGTTTTATATTGCTGGGGGAGAATCCAGGTAGAGACAGGGATACTGTCAAATTGATGTGGGCTGTTACAAATGTATGAATGACCTGGAGAGATCTAGGCAGAAGTACAGATTTGGAAGCTACTGGTGGATATAGTTGGTTCATACAGCCATTAGACAAGATAACATTCCTAACAACCATCATAAATACTGTGTATTAAAATGTTAAAGGTCTTTTATGTCTGCATACACAGAGGTTTTGAAAATATGAATTGGGAATACATCAGTTTAGTAGTTTGCGTGAATTGATGGGCTTTGCAGAAGAGAGGGTTAATTCCCTGAAATTTGTGGATAGAAAGAATTGGGAGAGAGTATTGACCTGGGTGTCCAGGAACAAGAGAAACTTTTAGATAGCAGGAGATGGTCAGCTGGATCTGGTCTGTCACATAGTCAACAAGAGTGATAAGGAAAATAGCCAGTTGAACTTGGGAGTGAAATGTTATCAGGAACCTTAAGGGTTTTTTTAAAGATGTGGTCTTACTATGCAGTTCACACATTAAATTTAGATTGGCCTCAAATATACCTCATAATCTTATTCTGAGACTTAAATTAACAGTATTATCTAATTAATTTTTATTTATTTATTTATTTAGTCTTTTGGAGGCGAAGTCTCACTGTCTCACTGTAGTACAGCTTGGCTTTGAACTCACTATGTGTCCCAGGCTGGCCTCAAACCCAGGTGATCCTCATGCCTCAGTGCTTCAGGGATTACAGGTGTGTACCACCAAAAGCCAAATTGCCCAGCCTGGCCTGAAATTTACAGTCCTCCAACCTTAGCCTCCAGACTAAGGTGATAGCATCAACATGCCTGGCATGGACATGTGTTCTAAAATACTGTAACTGCAGTGGTGAAGATTATGCCAAACACTCGCTGGGATTTTTTTTTTTTAA